AGTAGTAGTAGTAGTAGTAGTAGTAGTAGTAGTAGTAGTAGTAGTAGTAAGGATTGCCCCTGGAGTTAACAATGGTCGTACTGAAACTCAAAGCTCTTCTGTTGACTCCACCTTTTATCCTTCCAAGGTGGGTAAAATGAGGACCCACATTTGGGGGGCAAGAGGGTGACTCTGTAAACTGCTTAAAGAGGGCTGTAAAGCACAGTGAAGTGGTATATAAATCTAAGTGCTATTGCTATTGGATGTCGTTCCAACTGTTGAAATGAATACTGGGATGAAGCTACGATAATGAACTCTCTAGTCTTCTCCAAATGAATCCTGGGATGAAGCTATCATAATGGTCTCTCATTTTCTTCTCTCAGTGAATCTGGGAATGAAGCTATCTTAATGATCCCTCTTGTCTTGTCTCAATGAATCCAGGGATGAAGCTAGCATAATGGTCTCTCTTTTTCTTGTCTCAATTAATCTGAGGATGAAGCTACTCTAATGGTCTTTCTTGTCTTGTTTCAGAGAATCTGTGGATGAAGCTATCTTAATGATCTCTCTTGTCTTATCTCAATGAATCAAGGGACGAAGCTATCCTAATGGTCTCTCTTTTTCTTGTCTCAATGAATCTGAGGATGAAGCTACTGTAATGGTCTCTCTTGTCTTGTCTCAATAAATCCTCGGATGAAGCTATCATAATGGTCTCTCTTTTCCTTGGCTCAGAGAATCTGGAGATGAAGCTATCTTAATGATCTCTCTTGTCTTATCTAAATGAATCCAGGGATGAAGCTATCCTAATGGTCTCTCTTTTTCTTGTCTCCAAGAATCCGGGGATGTAGCTATCTTAATGATCTCTCTTGTCTCAATGAATCCTGGGATGAAGCTATCATAATGATCTCTCTTGTCTTGTTTCAGAGAATCTGGGGATGAAGCTATCTTAACAATCTCTCTTGTCTTATCTCAATGAATCCTGGGATGTAGCTATCATAATGGTCTCTCTTTTTCTTGTCTCCAAGAATCCGGGGATGTAGCTATCTTAATTATCTCTCTTTTTCTTGTCTCAATGAACCCTGGGACGAAGCTGCCGTAATGGCCTCTTTCGTCTTCTCTCAATACCTCCAATGCATCTGATCTGGCATCATAACGCCAGCCAAAAACAGGGGAGCTATGACATTGATTTTTTTTCTGCTGGCGCTACAGGAAGAACCAGAGGAATTGTCTGCCTTTATACACTGGCATGACGTCCAATGGATGTCTTTTTGTCTTTGATGCTTACAGGGAGCTTCGTGACCAAAACTGTCAATTTGTATCTCAGAAGTTTCCCAGTTTGTGGATCTATTGCAGTTAAGAAATATCTTTGTGTGTGTGTGTGTATCGATCAAAATTCACCTTTGGGAAAGATGAGAGTCAAATGCGTATTCTCTGTTGAGTGCTTTTATAATAAGCAATTGAACTATGATTCATTTCATTCTCCTCTCTCTCTCTCTCTACAATTGGCATGCACTAGAGTGTTCTGCGTTAGCAGGTGAGGGAAATCAAGAGAGGTTTGATATGTAAAAATAAAAAAAAACAGCATCCATGAATTATAAAGGAATTAGCTCAGGGCTTCTCTTCAGTTTCGGTCGGTAGCTGTTGCCTGCGATGTTTGCAAGAGATATTTACCTCCGTTTATAGGTTGAATGATCTCACAATCAATAAAGAAGCTACGAGTGGTGCAAAGATCCATGCTCGGCATCACAAGACAAGATAGAAAGACCGGCGCATGGAAGGAACAAAAGAAAGCATACAATGCTGTCAAAAAAGAAAAAAGAATTGAAATGGAAAAGGAGTGAGAACTGATGGCAGGTGGCCCAGGGGTGGATTTTTGCTACCATTACTGCTGGTTCGGTGCACTTTTTTTTTGGCGCAAATGCATGCGTGTGCATTTGCACCTTAAAAGGTTAGAAAAGGGGGGGGGAATTGATTATTTTTCAGTGAAGATTGTTCTGCGCGTGCGCAGAAATGAAAATCAAGATGGCGCCGCCGCCAATAGAACCAGTTCAGGGGCGTGGCAGGCCAAGTTACTACCTACTCAGCCGAACCGGTCCGAACCGATAGGAACCCACCGTTGAGGTGGTCCAAGGTGGTCATAGAATGGAACTTGATGGAGAGATGACAACAGCAGGGATGGCTGGCCCAATTGGCAAAAGAAAGCTCAGGACTGCATGGGTTGGAAACATGTGGAAGAGGCCTTCATCCTGTAGTGCATAGACAATGGGGAGGAGGAGGAGGAGGAAGAGGAGGGGGGAGGGGGAGGAGGAGGAGGAGGAAGAGGAGGGGGGAGGGGGAGGAGGAGGAGAGGAAACCATGG